CCTTGCGGAGAAGGAAAAGAAGGAGAAGGGTTTTGTATTTGCTGCATCATCTGAATCTGTAACTGGCCTGAGCCACGTAGATGGCTGGTCGCATCACTGGGGCCTTTGCTGCTGAGATCAGTTGCTAGGCAGAGTTCCCCAGTATTCTCAATTAGGACAGTGGTTCTCAATTAGAAGAGGGTCCTGGGGATCCCTAAGTCTCTTTTAGGGGATCTGCAAGCCCCCTTTCCACCCCATTTTTCTAACCAAATATTTGTGGAAATAAGATTTTTTTCTTACATCAAAAGAACATATCAAATCAGATTGACTAGAAACAGATGTGAGAATCCAGCTGTCTTCTAGCAAGTAAGAATTATAGTTTGCAAAATGATCCAACTTTCTCAACAATTGCTTATTGTTTTAGATAACAGATTTCTTCCTTTTCTTTTTAAAATAAGATAAGACTATATTGTATTAACTTGTAATGGCTTTGTTAAAGTTATTTAATCAAATTTAATTTTCATTAAGTTTTTTTGGCAAGTTGGTACACATAATCCTTTGGGAGGAATCTGAGACAAGGATATCATGAGTTGGAGACTAGCTTGGGCTACATAGTGAGACCCTATCACAAAAACACATCAATTTTAGTTCTCTTCTTTCTTACTCTTTCTTACATTTTCCCTTCCTCCTTTCCTTCCTTCTTTTCTTTTTCTCTTTCTTTCTTTCTCTCTCTTTCTTTCTTCCTTTCTTTCTCTTTTTTTTTTTTTTTTTGAGACAGAGTCTCACTAAGTTTCCCTAGCTGTCCTGGAACTCGCTCTGTAGACCAGGCTGAACTCTAACTCACAGAGATCTGCTGGCTTCTGCCTCCTGAGTGCTGGGATTAAGGGTGTGTGCCACCACGCCTAGCTTTTTTCTTTTTTCTTCAATTTTAATTTCTAATACACTAATTGCATGTTATATGACATATAATTCACAAAAACTTTTTGTTTGTTTGTTTTTGTTTTCTGAGACAGGAGTTCTTTGTGTAATAGCCCTGACTGTCCTGGAATTCACTTTGTAGGCCAGGTTGGTCTTGAACTCACAGAGATCCATCTGCCTCTGCCTCCCAAGTGCTGAGATAAAAGGCATGTGCCACCACATGGCTACAAACCCTTTTTGGTGTTCTTGTTGATAGATGCATGTGAAGACAATTGTCTCATACCTGGAAATAGGAAGGTAAACTCAAATAGCACCAGGGAGTCTCTGAAACTAACCAGATTCACTAGGTCCTCTCTGGGCCACAGTAAGCTATCAAAGTTGAGAGTCCACTGTAGTGAGTAGCCATTCCAGCTTTGATCTGGAAGTTCCAACCCCCATTGAGACTTCGCCAACTGTCACGCCTACAAGGCGGGGCCAAGGGAGGCGCCTGGGGACCCGAGATCTGGATCGGCCAGCACTCTCGCTCGGTTCCGGGACCCTGGACGGTGGAGGTGGGCCAAGCAGGGCTCCAGAGAACACCGCTGGACTGCGATACACCTTCCCCAGACCCCGCGACCTACCTATCCCTTCATTTGTAAATTATGCCATTTAATAAATCTCCTTTTAACTACGTGGAGTGGCCTTAATAATTTCACCAATAGTCCACCTCAGACCCGGAAACTGAGCTGCGAGGAAGACTCTCCGGAGCAAAGCTACAAGAAGAGCTGACCAACTGCCTAGATGAGGCAGAAACCAGCCGAGCTAACAGGGTTAGCCCAACAGAAGCACCTGGAAAGGACAATCTCCATCCAGCCTATTGAGTTGCTTTCAGGCTGTGTAGTGTGCTCCAGCTTTGGGAGTACCTGTGCTGGGGTGGCCTTTGGTGATATGGCTGTCTTTGAGTCATTTCTGCTCCTATAAGTAGCCGTTCACCTGTGTTACTGTAAATAACCCCAATAAAACTCATCAGTTCCCCAAATTAGACTTTGGTGGTGTCTGTACTGCACTTTGGTATGTCGTGGGTTTCTTATCTGGGATGAGAACATATAAGTGTTATACCTCCCCAGGAAAAGTTTTGTTACACAACAAATGTAAATGGATACATCTCCATGTAAATGGAAACCAGTAAAAAATTAGATATAACTGCCTTATGATCCAGCAATTCTACTCTGAGTATATACTCCCCCCCCAAAGGAAATAAATACAATACAGAAATATACAGATTTCCTGTATTCATTTGGCATTATTCATGACAACTAAGATAAAGAGTCCATCAAGGAATGAGTCAATAAAGAAAAAGTGTTAATACTCACAATGGAATACTAGACATTCTTAGAAAGAGAAAAGTCCTACCGTTTGCAACTATACGCATACAATAAAGAACATTATTTATGCTTAGCCAGGTCTCCCCAAAGCAATCACTGCATGTTCTTACTCATGTAAGGAATGTAAAAAAAACCTCAATACGTACAAGTAGACAGGGGTATTATTATCAGGCAGGGGTGGGGGCTATTAAATAAATGGGAGGAATAATTCTAAAAAGCTGTTGTATTCATAGGGACTATAATGAATTACAGTGTATGGTATACTTGAAAATGTCCAAGAGAGTAGACTTGTCCTCATCCCCAAACTGATAACTATGTAAAATGATGCATATCTTAATTGGCACAACCCAGTCATTTAACAATGGGCGCATGTATTAAAACACATATTTGAAGGAACAGGAATGCTAAGAAACGTTTATTTTTATTGCTCAATATAGATACCACATAATTTATTGCTTAAGCAAGGACATTTTTGACAGTAAAGGCAATCTTATGAATGATTACAGCAGGTGCACAGTGTTACTTTGGTGGGTGTTTTCCTTATCCTATCTAGTGACTCATCCCCAAAGTAGAATTGTTGAAATTAAGGGGCATAGAAATTGTTTTAGAAGCTGTCTATTTTTATTGTATCAGATATATTTACATAAGTGATTACATCAGCCAAGGTTAAATTTGATCTCTAGTAGATTTTGTTTCTAAAAATTGAGTTCTGAAAGTAGAAAAATATCATTTGGATGGCAGCAGCCTTGATATTTTAACTCAAGAAATATTATGAAATATTATATAATCATTTGTGGTCTTTAATGGCATCTAATTGTACAGAAGTATAATTCTTTGACAGTTACAAATCAACGTGCATGGGAGATTAGAATCAAGGTTTACCTGATTAGATTTTTTTAAAAAATGATTTATTTATTTATTTTGATTTTCCAAGACAAGTTTTCTCTGTGTGGCCCTAGCTGTTCTGGAACTCCCTCTGCAGACTAGGCTGATCTTGAACTCACAGAGATCAACCCGCCTCTATTTCCTGAGTGCTGGGATCAAAAGTGTGTGCTGCCACCACTGTCACCGCCCCCACCAACTGGCTTTGAATAGATTTAAGCAGCACAACCAATAGAGGGAGCTTTTGACTCACATTGTGGGTGGAGCTTACGACTCATTGTGAATGGAGACTGTCTCAGGCCCTATAAAAAGCCCAGGGCCTTAGTGCAGTGCCTAAACGTACTTCAGCCAAGAGCTTGAGCTCGTCAGTGGAGAAGTCAGATCCGAAGTCCTCTGCAGGAAACTACCCAAACTAGGTAAACCGACCCTTCTGGGAGGCCGACTTCACAATTCCTTTTCTCTCTGGCTACAACTTTGTGTCTTTATTTTTAGTTTTCAGATGGGGAAAGAGGAGGTCGTACACTGTCTGAGAACTCTGACTCTCATCACTACTGAAGTGTTTCACAAGATAACTTCAGGGCACTTTTCTTTTCTTTTTTAAAGATTGATTGATTTGTTATGTATACAGTGTTCTGCTTGCATGTATTCCTGCAGGCCAGAAGAGGGCACCAGATCTCATTGTAGATGGTTGTGAGCCATCATGTGGTTGCTAGGAATTGAATTCAGGACCTCTGAAAGAGTAGCCAGTGCTCTTAACCTCTGAGTCATCTCTCCAGCCCTGGCACTTTTCATAATAAAATATCCCTATGATTTTTCTTTTACTTTGAATCAAGGTCTGCTTTGCTCTTCTAGCCTTAAACTTCAGAATCATGTCACATGTGTTTTTGTGTTTTTAAGTAATATTTTCTAGTTTTAGATATTTTTAGACACTTTTCTATGCATTTCACTTAGATATATGTAACAATTAATATTTGTTGTATAATTATTACTGAATTATTTCTGATCATTTCGCTTTTTTTTTTTTTTTGAGACAGGGTTTCTCTGTGTAGTTTTGGTGCCTGTCCCAGATCTTGCTCTGTAGACCAGGCTGGCCTCAAACTCCCAGAGATCTGCCTGGCTCTGCCTCCCGAGTGCTGGGATTAAAGGCGTGCACCACCACCGCCCGGCATTTCTGATCATTTGAGATGGTACATAACCCTGGAAAACAAACCCTTTATAAATGCCAGTAATTTTTCTTTGGTAAAAGTATCAGGTACACTCTGAGATAGTTGAGGTCTTGTGGCATCTCACTCACCGTGTGGTGGATTTTGCTGGTCCGTTCACATGTGGTCATTGTCTCTGCAGTTGTGAAGATTTCTTAGTCACTTTTCTGTGTCAGGTAGACTGGGATTGAGTTTGCTTTTATGAATAGATTTAAATAAGGGTTAAATCCAAAACAAAACTGTAAATATCTAAGGGAGAAATACTGACCAATGTGTAGGGTGGAAAAACTTGCACTCAGATCTAGATCCATTACAGATCTGGGAGGGGGGCTGGAGGGATGGCTCAGAGGCTAAGAGCACTGTCTGTTCTTCCAGAGGTCCTGAGTTCAATTCCCAGCAACCACATGGTGGTTCACAACCATCTATAATGAGATCTGGTGCCCTCTTCTGGTGTGCAATCATACATAGATAGCTCTTTAAAATGTCACAGATGATAAACTTAACTATGATTCTTCAGTGACTTAGTATCACCTAGAACCATGTAAACAAATATATACAGTTTTTACAAATATTCGTATTGGATTTAGATACATCCTGTGTGTCAAAGGACAGATCGTGTACTGAAGACTACCAGTCGCTTTCAGAAACTGAAGAAATGGCTGTTTTGCCTGAAAAATGGACTCCGGATGGCAGTTTGGAAGTGGAGGCAGTCTGTCCAATTTGCCTGGACTTTTACTCTTATCCTGTCTCTCTCTCCTGTGCCCATGTTTTCTGCTTTGACTGCACTAAGAATTGGATGGCACAAGGAGCAGAAGATTCGATACTGAGCTGTCCCTTGTGTAGAGAAGAAAATAAGAGACCGATCATGTATGAATGGATGATTCGAGAACTCATCATTCTTATCAAGCAGCACGGCCCCCTCCTGAAGCAACCCATGGGGCAGATCACTGGACCCCAGGGGTTTTGCTCAGTGGACACAGCTCTAGAAATTGAGACTGGTGACTCCTCCTTGGTACTCTCTAATGGTTTAAGTGATGTCTGTTGTGGGGAGCCTGGTCATAACTCGGAAGATCCCCGAAGATTCACCCCCTTGGCTGGTGTCTTGGACAGCTCTAACGTCTCCCTGGTCTGCCCGGAAGTTGATGTGGGGAAAAGAAAAGAGTGGACTTCAGGTGTTTGCAAGGAGCCAGTCAGCAGGAGGAACCTGGCTATAACTTGGTGGAAGATCCTGGGAGAGTCACCCAACTGGCCTGAGTCCTGGACCGCTCCCACATCTCCTTCATCTGGCATTTGCAAATTGACACAGGAAAGGGAAATGCAAAGAATTCTCTCTGAATCTCCTTTGTGGACTCTTCAAGCCCATTCCTTTGTTCTGAATAGCCAGGGGAAAGTAACAGTAGTGCCCTGTGGTGGTGATAAATTGTCTATCCTAATAAACTTGCCTGAGGATCAGAGGACAGAGACAGCCACTAGATTAGACATAGAGGCCAGAGAGTGGTGGCACACACCTTTAATCCCATCGTTCAGGAGGCAGAGATCCTCTGCATCTCTGTGAGTTCAAGGCCACACTGAAAACAGAGCCAGACAGTGGTAGCACATACCTTTAATCCCAGTACTGGGAAGCACACATGGCTTTAATCCCAGGAGTAATGGCATGGCAGAAAAAGGTATATAAGGCATGAGGAAACACGAAATAAAGTAGTTCAGCTGAGACCCTTTTGAGTGAGGACTCAGAAGCTTTCAGTCTGAGGATTTGTGGAATTGGTGAGGTAATAGGTGATGACTGTGGCTTGCTCTGCTTCTCTGATCTTTCAGCCTTCACCCTGATATCTGGCTTTTTTTTAATTATTATTATTATAAGACTATTTAACATTTGAACAACAGTGCCCCATTTGAACATCTTCTTTTGGGTAACTCAGCCATTCCTAGGCTGCAGAGTTACAAATTGGAGTTATCTGAGAGGAGGGAGCCTCAGTTGAGCTGCTTCCATAAGAGCAGGCTATAGATAAGCCTGTAGGACCTTTTAAAAATTAGTGATTGATGAGATAGCATCCAGCCCATTGTGGATGGGGCCCACACATCGGCTGATGGTCTTGGGTTCTATAAGAAAGCACGCTGAGCAAGCCATAAGAAGCCAGCCAGTACGCAGCACTTCTCCATGGCCTCTCCTAGTCCAAGTTCTGCCCTGTTTGACTTCCTGCCTGACTTCTTTTGATGATGGGCTGTGATGGAAGTGTTAAGGAAATAAACCCTTCCTTCCCTGAGTTGCTTTTTGTCATGGTGTTTTATCTCAACGATAAAAACCCAACCGAGACACTCTTTTATTATTTCATGCTCATTTATATAGAATTTCTGATAATGATCGTTGCTAGGGAGAAAAACAAAACAACAAACAAAAACCAACAAAAGCCAACAGAATCAGTGGAAGATGTTTTGACACCGTATAGAGTTTCACACTGAGACAAAACTGGGAGACACCGCTTCCTGTTCGACCCCTCCTCCCAGCTGCATGAGAGTCCTTGAGAGACCAAGGTGTAGGGAAAAGGGGCTGGCTAGAGAAACCCACCCCGACCCTGGAGCCCAGAACTGGGGAAGGATGGCTCAGATAAGACCAGTGAAACACAGTTTGGCCCAAATCAGAGCCGTCTCTGCCCCTGGCCAACTGACTCGTGAAACCAACCAATCACAGAGCAGGACAGTAGACTCCTGGCCCTGGGGCCCAGGACCAGGGATAGATAGATACACAGCCTGTGTTTGGGACCTGAGCCAGAGAAATAAACACTTTATCCCCAAACCCAGAACCAAGGAAACATGCCCTGACTCTGAAACTAGTGCCAAAGTAACACTCTTGGTCCCTAGAATCAGAGTCAGGGAAAGAAATGTGCCCTGGCTTTAGAGGCAGTGTCAAAAAGCCAAGAAAGGCCAGTGAAAGAAATACAGTTTGACCCTGAAATCAGAGCCATCTCTGTCCCTAGCCCACAAAACTGGCCCATTCCTGGGCAGAAAAAAAAAAAAAAAAAACACAAATCAAAAAACTAACCAATCACAGATTGACTCTGTAACTCCTATGTAACTTTCTTTTCCTTCTTGTTTTTACCCCATGTTCCTTTTTGGTATCTGTGATCCTTCTTAGGGGCTGCCTTGCATTACCTTTTAGTGGGTTTGGGTGGGTTGCATTCTAATAAAGCAACAGGGCTTTACAATGTTCAAAAATAATACTTATTGGTGATATATTTTTCTTTTATTATATTTCATTAAGCATGCTAATATCTCACAATAATGTGCTTACCTGACTCATCAATGGATGAGACTTATACTTCAAAAAACTGTCACAGACCCTGGGCTTCCAGGCTCCTGCTCCTGAGTATTAAAAGCCCCAGTGTCCCCATGGTGTCTTTATTTCAAAGGCCTTCAGGTTTCTTTCTTTTGGATGTTTAAGTTCCAAGCTTTCATTTCTCCCACTTGAGTGACCCCCCCCCCCCCCCACTTCTCATATACTGTGTGTGTGTGGGGTGGGGATGGGGTGGGGAGTGAAGGTGGGGAGTGGAGGATGCCTGTGACTGTTGATTGGCCTAATTCCTCTCTCCCATGTGGGTGAACCATGGTGGTCCAGAGTGTGGATCACACACTCTGTTTGCTATTGTCCACTGGTTAGCAAAAACCCAGTTTCTGCTGCTTTCAGCTTTGTGGTCTTGGATGAATTATTTAACTTTTCTATATGGAAATTCCCAAATCAGTAAAGGGAATTTGTTGCTAGAGTTTTCCTGCCTGGCCCACAGTCAGGACAAATCTCTCTCACCCACCAGTCCTGCAGCTGCTCAGACCCGACCAAGTAAACACAGAGACTTATATTGCTTACAAACTGTATGGCCATGGCAGGCTTCTTGCTAACTGTTCTTATGGCTTAAATTAATCCATTTCCATTAATCTATACCTTGCCACATGGCTCGTGGCTTACCGGCATCTTCACATGCTGTTTGCCATTGTGGTGGCTGGCAGTGTCTCTGACTCAGCCTTCCACTTCCCAGCTCTATTCTCCTCCTTGTCCCGCCTATATTTCCTGCCTGGCCACTGGTCAATCAGTGATTTATTTATTGACCAATCAGCAACACACTTGACATACAGACCAGCCCACAGCAGGAATTAATAATAATAAAAGACTCACTTTTAATACAACAGTCAGCCCTCCAAATCTGGAGTCTTCACATATGTAGATTCAACCAATCTTAGTTCAAAAAAAATATATATTTTTAAAAAGTGAGTCTGTATAGAATGTGTACAGACTTTTTATCTTTGCCATCATCCTAAAAACAGTACAGCAGCTGGGTGTGGTGGCACCACACATTTAAGCTCAGCATTGGGGAGGCAGAAGGAGGTGGATCTGTGCACATTCAAGACCAGTCTAGTCTACACAGTGAGCTCCAGGCAATCCCAAAGCTATACAGTATTATCATTTCATAAAAATGAAACAAAACAAAATAAAAACAAAACCAGCAAAACAATTATAATCATAGCACTTACACTGAATTAGGTATTATATGTCTTCCAGAGATGAATGGACATATTTGGGAGTATTGCACAAGTTATATTTGCACATGACACCCGTTTATACAAGGGAGAAAGTGCCTATAAATTTTGACACCAGTAAGAAGGCCTGCAGCCAGTCACTTACAGATCTGTGGAATGATTATTTTGAGGATTAAATGCAATAATTCCTATTAATTTTTAGCTTAGGGATTTGCCTAAAGAATGTGCTCACAGTTTTTTTTTTTCAAATTGTTAGTATCATCTACTATTATCTTTGGTTCATTGTAAAGTTGTTTTTAATTAACATACTCGTATTATGTTAGAAACATAATTGAAGAAAGTATCATATGACTGTATTTCCCTCCTGCTGTAGACAAAATTCTAAACAGTCTTATTAAATAAGAAACACAGAATCAAATACAGAGTTAAAGTCAAGAGATCAGAGCAAGAGCCACGACTACCTTATCTGACCACCTCGCCGCTACCGCTTTCCCAGAGAGAGAGACCTTCTTCCTGTGTGACTGTCTTTTTATTATCTTTCTGTTCTGCCTTCTCATTGGCTCTAAACCCAACCACGTGACTTCCTCGTCATTGCCTGTCTATACAGACTTGCAGGTCTCTAAGGTTGGTACTGGGATTAAAAGTTCAGGTCACCTTGCTTGGCTGTGTCCTTGACCTCTGCCTGCCATGTGATTGGATTAAGGGCGTGTGCTACCATTGCCAGACTTCTGCTAAATGGCTATGACCTCTGATCTCCAGGCAACTTCATTAACATACTAATAAAATCACATTTCAGCACAAATAAACCACATCCCTCTCTCCATTCATGTGAATTACTTTTTAGTTCTGTTTCTTCTCCATTTTGCTCTTGTCTACCCACCAGCCAGCCTCTCCTAGCCACACAACTCTTGTGGAGATGGTTGTATACAGAGATGTGTTAATTGATTCTGATAGTAGAGGTGCAATCATTCTGAGAAAACAAAATTCTGCTCTGCAAAAACCATAGTGTGGAGATTGTTGTGGGGTGTCCATCAGAGAAGACTGCTCAGACACAGGTTTAAGCCAACAGAAAGTCTTTATTAGCTGGCGACTGCACTGGGTGTTCAGGATCCCAATATAGTCCCAAGCCTTTCTCAGGATGAGATTTTAACCACAAAAAACTATGTTCTGGCTTGACATACTTCAGTTAATGAGGAAAGGTAGCTAGAAGTGGAAGTACAGAAGCCAAAAAGCAAGGTTAGTACATTTAGAGATATTCTTAGAATGATGCACTTTGATGGATGAGGCCTTTGTTTTAGCTTTGGCAGGTGGTGCTGCCTACATGCTGAGTTCTACAGCCTAAATGGTACTTCATCATGGAGTCAGTTGTACTAAGGTTTGGGGGCCTACTAAGGCTTAGCATCCTGTTATAGGGATAAACTGCAATTCCAAATACCAGTTTGCACAATAGCATTATAGCATTTATGAGAGCATCTCCATCCTCTCTCTAACTGTTCACCTCACATTTCAACTTTCTAACCCTCAGCCTACCTTTTCTCCCATGTGGGTGCTGCTAATGAAACACCTCGTGTCAAACTCTGATCCTGTCATACTCACTAGTCCTTTATGGTGCGCTGTGAATCAAACTGCAGGGGGACCTCATCCTCTTCCTCCTGGGTCGGGAAGGGGATGCCTGGGAAGACAGAGACTTAAACCAGAATCTCTATAGATTTGGGGGAGGAAACCAGTTCAGCATCATTCGTGGGCAGCAGTTCATTCGAATGGTTTCATTTGGTCTTGAAGACTAAGACAGCCTAAGCAGGAGAGAACTATAGTGTTTACTCCTGGATTTAAATTGGAATCATCTGGAAGAACTTAAGAAACCACCACACGTCAAAACAACAACAACAACAACAGCAACAACAAAACAAAACCCAAAACAAACAAAAAACCACCCCCCACAAAACAAAACAAACAAAAAAACCTAACAAAACAAATCAAAACAAAAAGCCACACCCCAAACTCCTCAAATAAGAATCCCTGGAGACAGGGATTGTACAATAGTAGAGGTCCAAGATCCCTTCTGATTCCAAAAACCAGTCAGGGCTGAGAAGTGTCTGTGTAGATCATCGGCTCAATAATTAGTTGTGTCAGAATCCTCCGGCTGAGACCAGGAAGTCTGGACGGGACCCACAAATGAGCATTTACAATAAATTCCCAAGGAATGCTGGCGAGGACCACAGTTGAGTATCAGTGGGCTAAAGGACACAGTGTACACTAATGCTGATGTATGGATTTATAAATGGATATATATGCACGCATATGTTGATCTAGATGCATTTTATAAAAATTGCAATGAGAAAACAAATCTTGGTAGTATAAGTTTAAAACTAATGCTAAAAATACAAACTTTTTTCTTGACAGATCTGCTTGTACCATGTTTTTTTTCCTCCAAATGACACAGACTTAACTATATTTTTCCTGCTCTTGCAAACATTTTTTGTGCAGTCTTTTTTTATTTCAAGCCTGTAATTAGAAGGAGGGAGACAGAAGGAGAGAGATGGGATTTGGGGGGTGGATGGGGGGAGTGGGATGGGGGTGGGAGGGGGTGGGATAGGGGTGGAGTGGGGGTTGGGGAAAGGATAATGGAGATAGGGTCAACACATTGATCACCGTCTTAACTACTATCCACATGCTCTGCCCTCATATGCTAAGTTACAAGATTTCTATCCAGTCCAATAACCTGATAATATCCAAGATTATAGTAAAAGTGCCTGCTCATTGTAAGCATGCTAATCTGTATTCTTCTCCTTAATATTAGAATCCTTTCTGCAAGTAACCAAAACAACAACAAAAAAAGCCCTTGCTTTTCAGTCTGTGCTACATCCTTTTGTCCTGGAAACAAACAGGCAAAAGCAATGAAAACAGTGAAATGTTCTGCTTAGGCATCGTGAGGCTGATGGTTGATTTTGATGGCCAGGTTGAGCACATTAAGAAGTGCCAGAGGGCCGGGCGGTGGTGGTGCCCTCCTTTAATCCCAGCACTCGGGAGGCAGAGCCAGGCAGATTTCGAGTTCAAGGCCAGCCTGGGCTACCAAGTGAGTTCCAGGAAAGACGCAAAGCTACACAGAGAAACCCTGTCTTGAAAAACCAAAAAAAGAAAAAAAAAAAAAAAAAGAAGTGCCAGAGGATTAGTACAGCACACACCTGGGAGTGTCGGGATGGATTTCCAGGGACACTTAGCCCCTGATACTTCTGACCTATGAATGAATGCATTTCTCCATGGATTCATGGTAGCCTCGTGAGAGGCCGAGAAAGCTAGGGGGTGGGGCCTAGTTGGGGGAAGTAGGTTACTGGAGGTGTGTACTTAGGTGTTGCCTCTTGGTCCAGCTCTTTCCTCTGAACTTTTTCTGCTTCCTGGTCACCAGGCCGTGAACTGCTCGGCATCACCACTGTACCCTTCCCTGTGTGACCAGCTCACAGTTCTGAAACCGGCTAAAGTAAATCTTCCCTTAAGCTGTTTGTTACAGACATTTTAGTCATAGGGACAGATAGCTACTTCATCAAGCAGGAAAGACCTCTGGAGAAGTCATAAGTATCTCTTCGTCTGGTGGGACACTGTTTCCCTCCTTTTTTTTTTTTTTCTCATAGGTGGTAGCTTCCATTTTGGAACTAAAGGATGTATGTGAGTGTGAGGTGTGACTCCCTCAGTGTGGCAGCTTCTAACGTTCTTCCTGAGTGATGCTGGGCCTTCCGTGTGCTCACTCTTGGATCTCTCCCTTTCTCCCTGCTGTCTGGAAATGTAGGCACTGGACCACACTGAGGAGCTGATGAGGGCTAGGGAAAGCAGTCAACACAAGGAAGCAGGGATGACGAGGCCTGCAACCTTGGATATGGTGAGGAAAGAAAAGCCCCTCTACATAAATACCTGCTGTTTATGTGTTTGGTCTTGCTTGCCTTTGAGCTACCCCTAAATTATGTCCCGGTTTACCAAATCCTCTGTGACACGGTGATTGATCCTTAGGCATTCTCCATAGGATTCACTTTTTCATGTAGAACTCACTAGCTTAGGCACCCTCTTTGTTTCTGTAGTTTGCCTTGTCTTCCCTGGCTCGGGCTTTTAGGACTTTGGTGGGTTTACTGTAGGTTCCTCCCCTTTATTTATCTAAAATTTTACTTATTTATTTGTTTATTTATTATTATTGAAAATAGATTCTTCTCTCATACAATACATCCCAACCATAGTTTCCCCTCTCTTCACTCCTCCTAGCTCCCCGTCCCACTTCCCTTCTCCCCAAGATCCACATCTCCATTTTCAATTCAGAAAGAGCAGGCCTCTTAAGAGACAACAGCCAAACAGGACAAAACAAGATACAATAAGACAAGGCTAAGGCCCTCATGTTGAGGCTGGACAAGGCAACCAAAGAGGAGAAAAGAGTCCCAAGAGCATGCAAAAGAATCAGAGATACACCCCCCCACACACTGTTAGGAGTCCCACAAAAACATTAACCTAACAGCCACAACATATACACAGAGGACCTGGTGCAGAGTCATGCAGGCCCTGTGCTTGCTGCTTCAGTCTCTGTGAGCCCGTATGAGCCCTGCTTAGTAGACTTGCTGGGCCGTGTTCTTCTGGTGTCCTCCATCCTCTCAGACTCCTACAATTTTTTTGCCCCCTCTCTTGAAGGGCTCCCTGATCTCTGAGGGGGAGTGACCCAATGGAGATCTCCAATTTAGACTCTCTTTTTGCATAATGTCTGGCTGTGGGTCTCTGCATCCATTTCTATTTGGTTGCCAGAAGAAGCTTCTCTGATGATGAATGGACAAGGCACAAATCTATGAGTATGGAAGAATATCACTAGGAATCATTTCAATGATGATGATGATGATGATGATGATGATGATGATGATGATGATCATATTAATTTGGCTAGTCATGTTTGGTTTTACCCTAGGTCTCTGAGTGGTCCAGGCCCCTGTTTCTGACCATCCAGGCAGTGTAGGGCATGGGCTCCTTCACCGTGGCATGTGCCTCAAGTTAAACCAAACATTAGTTGGCCACTCCTACAAGTTCTGCACCATTATTTCCCTAGCACATCTTGCAGGCAGGACAGATTATAGGTTAAGGGTTTCATGGCTGGGTTGTTGTCCAGGTTTCTCTTTCTGTAGCCTGCAGAGTGCCTACTTGTGCCAAAGAGATTAGAACATAGGGGTAAAGACTCCATGCAGGCACCAGCAACAACCTCTCTAAGTGCAATGGACTGTATAAATGTTGTCTTCAGCAACAAGGCCCCACTGTCAGTTTTTGGAGAGTGACCCTCTGTCCTAGCATCAGCCTTGGTTGTTTAGGGATCTCCATGGGACATCATTGGCCAACAACTCAACTGAGTGCAACCCAGTCCTGCCACTGGGAGCCTTGCCTGGCTGTAAGGGGTGGCCAGTTCACACTCAGTATCCTTTGGTACTAGGAGTCCTCACTAGGGTCACCCTTACAGATTCTAGGAAGTTTCCACTGCACTAGGTTTCCATATAGCTGCCCAAGTATCCCCCACTTCCAGCTGTCTCACCCTATACTCTCCCCTGAAACCTGATCTCTCCTGCTCCCATCCCCACCGGTCTCCAGTCAACATGCAAAATCTATTCCATTTCCCCTTCCCAGGGAGATCCATGCATCCCCCACCCAGAGCCCTCCTCTTTACCCAGTCTCTCTGGGTCTATGGATTGTAGTTTGATTATCATTTACTTAATAGCTAATATCCCACTTATAAGTGAATACATACCTTATTTGTCTCCCTGGGTCTGGGTTATCTCACTCAGAATGAATTTTTCTAGTTCCATTGGCCTCCAAATCTCATGATGTCTTTTTTTCTTTTACTTTTTATTTTTTTTTAACCAATGAGTAATACTCCATTGTGTAAATGTACCACATTTTCTTTATTCATTTTTTAGTTGAGGGACATTTAGATTGATTCCAACTTCTGGCTATTATGAATAAAGTCACAATGACCATAGTTGAACAAGTGTCCTTGTGGTAGGATAGAGCAACTTTTGTTTAGCTATAGAGGTAGACAGATTCCCAATTTTCTGAAGAATTGCCCTATTGGTTTCCATAGTGGCTGTACAAATTTACACTTCCACCAGCAATGGAGGAGTGGTCCCCTTGCTTCACATCCTCTCCAATATGAGCTGTCACTTGTGTTATTGATCTTAGTGATTCTGATAGGTATATGATGGAATTACAAAGTAGTTTTGACTTATATTTCCCTGATGGTTAAGGATGTTGAACATTTAAGTGTTTCTTAGCCATTTGAGACTCCTCTGTTGAGAATTCTCTGTTTAGATCTGTACCCTATTTTTAAATTGAATTACTTGTTTTTTTTTTGATATTTAATTTCTTGAGTCCCTCATATATTTTAGATGTTAGCCCTGTATTAGATATGGAATTGTTAAAAATCTTTTCCCATCCTGTAGTCTGCTGCTTTGTCCTATTGATGGTGTCTTTTGCCTTACAGAAGCTTTTCAGTTTCATGAGGTCCAATTTATTAATTATTGCTCTTATGTCTGCACTATCTGTGTTATCTTCAGAGAGTTGTGTCCTGTGCCAATGTGTTCAAGGCTCTTTTCCACTTTCTCTTCTGCCAGGTTCAGTGTTTCTGGTTTTATGTTGAGGTCATTGATCCACTTGGACTTGAGTTCTGTGCAGGGTGATAGATATGGATCTATTTGTGTTCTTCTACATGTGGACATCAAGTTTGACCAGCAACATTTGTTGATGCTTTCTTTTTTCCAGTGTGTATTTCTGGTTTCCT